TCGAGAGGTTGAGCTCGCGATGGACGCGGCTCTGATCAACCAAGCAGCTCCGCGCTTCTTTTGCGCTCTCCAACCTTAGCGGTCGTGGGCGTACACGCGGGAGGTGACATCGCATGAATGTTTTACATCCTGGACTCAGCTGTACGAAGCTTCGAGCCGCGTTCCTCCCGACAAATTACGAGTACCGGCAGAACAAGGAAGGCCCGATCTGCACGAGTACATCAAAGAGATGCGGGAACTCACGGCATCCCTAGTGGGCAGCTCACTCAACGAGCACATGAAGGTGAAAGTGCTCATGGACGGCCTTCGAGTGGGACCGGCGCGCACTCAGCTGTTTCGGGTGCCGTCTAGCACCCTCGAGGAGGAAATTTCCTAGGACTTTTCATGAAGAATATAGCCATTGCCAGGCGCGTCCGCCGGTCTCAGCGTGGTCATGGAATTCTGTGTCGAATCGCGGCCGGACCAACCCCACCGGATCATCGGTGCCAGCCGTTCTGCGGTGTCCAATAGAGCATTTGTGAGTCATGTTCCCACCTCTGTCGGGACCCGGGGCGCCCGCAAGGGCTGCCAGTGTACCGAAACATCCAGCCGATGCTTGGGAGTCGTCAACGTACATGACGACGCCGAGGAAGCTTCGATGGTGGCGGCGCTAGGCGGCGCTGGTCAAGGGGGTAGCTTAGGCTCACAAGCGGGTAGCATAGTTCGCTGCAGCTGTCACGAAAGCTGGTAATAGCGTAGACAAGGCGGGTAACAGAGCTCCACACATGGTCGCCCAGACCTTAACTGAAGAGGAAGACGTCGGATACGCTTCCTGTGAGGGTAACACAGTGCCACACGCGGTTGCCCAGACCTTAACTGCAGATAAGACGTTGAACACGCTTCCTGTGTGGGTAGCATAGTTCCATACGAGGCCTCGAGGGCCTCGGATGTCGACCTCACGACATTCCCAGACGTGGGTAACGAAGTTCCACGTCACGGTCGCCGACGCCACCGCCACCGCAATTCGGATCTGAACCTCGTCTAAATCGACGTCGCTTCAAGCGACTCGGCGTCCAGGGATCAGGTTCCTCCGACGTGGCCGGTGGAACAGTGTTATCACTTCTTCATGACGAGACCGGTTTCCCCGTCAAGACACCTGGTATGCACTTGGAGCCGCTGCCAGAGGCTGCAGAGATACTGAACCTCGAGGAAACGACGGCCGAGACTTTCCTGGTCAGCCTCAAGGTGTCGCGAAGGCTGGATGCCTTCAATCTCCACGGCCGACGCGGTCGTCCATACCGGCGCAGTGCACAGGGCGGAAAGCCGTCGCGCCTGTCAGTGGCTATCAGAAGCCACGATAGACTCAGTAGTCTCGAGGTTAAGTGGGGGAGAGGCTCGGAAATATCTTTCCTCCCTGACTTCCCACCCGTCGTGCTGCCAGTGGCTATCACAAGCCACGAGAGACTCAATGGTGTTAAGTGTAAGTGGGAGAGAGGATCGGAAATACCTTTCCCCCCTGGTCTTGAGGTAAGACCAAGTTCTTTACGGAACCAGGCGTCGATGTACATCGAGTGCAGGCTGGAGGCGAGCAGCCGGGCTAGAGCTGTGGTAGCTCTAGTCGAACAAGACATAGTGGCGAAGAAAGCCACGGGCGCAAAGTGCCTCAGAATCGCTGAGCGAATCAGCAGTGTTGGGGCTGCAAGCAACCACACACGAGGCGAAGCGCGGACCTAGTGCAATTAGCGCACTGATCCCCTGGTCATAAACGACCTTTCGAGTAGGGTTAGCGGAACGTCTCACCCACCGACTTAGCGGTTGCGGTACGTGATGTACGCAACGCGCCGGGTATAGTGGGCCGTGGATCCATAACCCAAGTGTGGTGCACGAGTGCACACACAGCTGACCAGGTGGTGGTCGAGGCAACGCACGCAGTCGTAACTGGTGCCGAGCCAAGCATGACACCGTGTTGATGGCAGTTTGCTTCACCATGGGTTAGTACCCGTGAGTACTCGGTGTCAATGCCAGACACCAACGCGGCAGTGGTGAGATATGCCCCACTACGGTCGAGTGCCATCAAGGTACATGGTGTCTGTGACAGACACTGGTATAGATGCAAAGGATATACACCATACCACGACCCGATGCGCTCGGGACGCTGTGAGTCAGCGCACCTACCGTGCATCGGTACTAGCTGCTGTCGAGCAGCCTGCCAGAAGTTCCACGTAATGAACTCGTCGTACATGACACACATGAAGTGCACGGAGCACTTATGGTAGCTGTGGTACGTGTCGTACACAGCGTACCTCGTGTACGGGTCCATGGACCTGTACACTGTGCTTGCACATGCGTCGTGCATGATGTGAGCACTGTCCGTGCATTTGTTCAGGTGACAGCACAGCAGAAGCTGTTGCCGCCAAACATGGTAGCCTTGTGGTGGGCGTACCGCACCAGAGGTTAGTACCGTACGGTACATGGTGTCGATGGGAGACACCTACACCACGGTTGTGTACCGTCACGGTACACGGTGTCGATGAAGAACACCTACGCACCGTTGGTATGGTGACCTAGACGCGAAGAGAGCGTGGCAGAAGCTCCGCCCGCAAGGATGGACCCTTGCTGAAGCCAAAGGCATGGCCCGAGGTGAGCTGAGAGCTCCCTCTAGTGCTGGGGAAGGTGTTGCCCTTCTCGGTGTCGTCACTCGCGGGAGACACCATGCTCCGGACGCGCTCGCGAGGACTGTCGTGTCCTCTGGTGCGAGCTGTGGGCGAATGCCACACGTTCGGATGCTATTGCACCCTGTGCTAAAGCACTGTACGCGCGCTAGCGCAGGAGCTAAGGCAGTTCTGAGTGTGGGCTTTGCGGCCAACACAGTTGTGAGCATACAGCTGCAAACCCAGTGAGCTTTGGGAGCACAAGTGACCGTGAGTGTGACTGATAGCCGCGCCAGTCTCGTGGCTGCTTAGTGTGGGAATTCACCTTTGGGCGTTTTAATTCTCTCACTTCTGATTGGAGAATCAGTTGTGATAAGAGAATCAGGTGATTCTCAGTTAAGTGCGGGAGGATGTAACGGGGTACAATCCAGTGTACCCCATGTTACATAAAGAGTGACCCGGCACTCTTGTGGACACCTGGTACACGGTACCAGGTGCTCTCGGAACCAGTCAGTGCATGACTACTTAGCTCCACTATTGGTAACCTCTAGTTTGTATGAGACCCAAGCTAACCTTACTTATAAATACATCAGCCCTACAACTACTCTATTATGTAGCAAACCGTTCCCACTGAGGCCGGGAACACGTGAACTAAAGTTCACCCGGGTAGTAAATACCCTTAAGCACTTCCTCTGTGCAAGGTGCTGTGTGACCCCGTCATAACAGGTGTATCGTTTCCTGAAGTAGCCAACAATACAGCGAACAGGTTTTGATCCTTAAAACTAAAGGTTTTTCTGAAGTAGCTTCTACAAATTCGTAAGACTAAAACGATAATAATAACAATTTTTACGGTGGACAGGTTTAATCCTCGAAGATTTTTCTAAGTAGCCAAAATAACAATGAAAAAGCACAGTCCCTGCCAGAAAAAGGCAACAAAATGACAAATCTGGCAATGGAAGTCAAAGAAAAAATATCATCAATATCAAAACAAGATCTACTTCTTGTAAATGTTCATGTACGCACAGGACTAAAACAGCCATATGTGCTGCATTAACTGTAAATACTATCCGACGGATAGAGCATCGAGGCTGTTGAAGTAGCATCTCCGATGTGATGATTACTACCTCCGTTCTGAAAAAGATAACCATTTGTTTTTTTTTGCGCAGCGCTCCGCCTCGTTCATTTGAGCGTTTAATAATTTGTGGGAGGCTGGCTAGCTAGCTTTATGACCGAGAGCTGACAGTGAGAAACTAAGCAAGGCACAGGCGTTCATGCTCCGCCGTGCAACTACAGATACAAAAACGGATCTAAGACGACAACTACATCGCCACATTTTGAAGGGGCGCTCAGTGGGGCTTCTAGAACTTCAGCGGTAGGCGGTGGGGCTGCTCGCTGCAAAAAGCAGCATGTACGCGTTAGCATTGGCGAGTGAGATAGCGTCACAAGGCAGTGACTTAGGGAGAGTGCCAGCTCGTACTTGCTTGTCCTTGTGCCGGAGGCGCGCAAACTTGTGCGTGGGTGTAAGTAGTGGACGGGTCTGTCTGAGCGCACGCCGTATGTAGCCTTCCTTGATCAGCTGCTGAACCAGGTAGTAGCTCATGTTCGACGCGCGCTGAAGCAGACGCTGATTTTCGCGCTCATTGAAAGGAGCTGCAGCGATTCTCTCGCACAGCTCAGCTCGATCCACCTTCTTCCTACCACATGCGCTCTTCCTTGACTTGACCACGGCTGCTACTCGATCTCCCATCGAATCGATTCCACGCCTCCAAATTCGTTCGACAACTTGGCGGCCCACACGGAAGTACGCTGCAACCCGAACGATCTCTCCATGTTTGACCACTTCTCCCACGCTGCGAAGCAGCAAGGTCTCCCAGACGGCCTGGCGCTCACTGTCTGTGCTCTCCACCGCCAGCTTTCAAAATGAAAGCTGGGAGCGGGAGCCAGTCTGGTCGGGAAAGCGCGGGAGATTCGAAATCCATAAAAGGATCGGCTTAGAGAGGGTATTTTGTTGGGTAGGCTGTAATATAATTTGAAATGGTTATCTTTTTCCGAGCGGAGGTAGTACTATCTAGTGGAATATATTTGTGCTATTTCAAATATAGAAATCATATATAACTGAACACCAGATTCTCTAATTCATCCCCTTTTTCTCTCACCTCACAAGCATCTTTTCCCAAAACTTCCTCTCCACTATCACCGCCTAGACCACTTTACTTTTGTCCTCACTCCATACTGTACTGCCTGCGCAAATCATCCGTTCAACACAGCCAAAAGGTACGGACGTGTGTGACGTAGGACATTCAAGGGGATGCCGCTGCTGTATTGCAGTAGGCTTCAGTTTGAAATGGTTAGCTCGCCGTCATTTTATTCTCATGTGGTAAGCTTCGTAAAACCGTTTCCTTGCATCTCAGCCCACTGCTTTCGATACTTCAGGAAGGTCCTGAAAGCTTCGTAGTTCTGATGATCAATGATCTTCCTCCTGCTCAAGCCCAACAATCCAAGTGTCGAGGACACCTCCTTGGGCGAGTCTCCGCGCATGACCCACTGCAATAGATTTTCCTTTGTCTTCGCCTCCGTCTGGTAGCCTGTTCCATATTTCGCATACGCTTTGGCTTTTTTAGATTTCATACGCTGGAACGTAGTGAGAGCCTTCCAGTTTTCGTGATGAATCGCTTGTTCGAGCGACATTCTCTTCAGCCCCAGCTTGTTAGAAACGGATGGCACGCTTTTTCCACTGTTGAGCCAAGAGGTCAGTAACTGCTTCGTTTGTGCCTTATCACGCAAAACTCCAGCTAAAGTCATTGTTGCCCCCCTCTCTTCGTCGTTTGTCCTCAGGAATCTGGTTTCATGAGTGCTTCTGTGGGGAGCACGAACCGCGTCGCTGACAGGAGAAGTTGCTAACGGGAGAGGCTTACACTGTCCGAATAGGCTCACGGTAGCGACAATGAGTAAGAAGGACCGGAGCATGTTTGTTCGAACCGCCGAGACAAAGTGAATTGCAAAATGATTCTGTTCAGCCGAACTCTGAAGCCGGACGGACTATCCAGTAAAAACAGTGTACTGTACTGGTATACCTGCTGATCCTAATGCTACGATGTTCGTGACGATTGAACGTTCGGCTCGTCAACTTTGTTCGACATACGGCTGCGAGAACCCGGCTCGACACGCCAATTTTACAGAATAAGTACTCTAATCTGACCTTTGGTTTCTGTGGTATTTCCTTGTGTCTGACTCTAGATATATTTAGGCCGTGTTCGCTTGTTCGAAAATGCTAGAGCTGTAGAACAGTCGTTTTGTTAAGTAAAATAAAGATAAAATCAGTGATCGTGTTCCATCAGAAAAAGACTGGATTTGAAGGCGCAAAGCAGGACGATTCAAAATTCAACCCAAAGCTAAATTTTGAAACCAGTCGTTCGGAGCTATCCTGCTGGATGTCATTTTTTGTGTTTCTTAGCGGAATAAAGCTGGTTGAGACATTCCAGCTCTTTAATACCAATTACAGCTGGTTTTAGATTAAATCGAACACGGCCTAAGGCCGTGTTCGATTGGCGCATAATATAGAATGGATTCATTTAAAAGCTAAACTGAAGTTGCTTTAATCCTTTCTTTAGAAAACCCTGCAGTCGTGCACACCAGCAAAACCCAGACGGGTGTCATTCTCAAAAAAGCGACGTTTTCAAAATCATTGTAGAAATTTGTTTCCTTGCAACTTTTGGGCTATACTGTATACAGTAAGAACCTATTAATTTAATAATAGGCGACTGTGCTCTGTAACTCACATTCTGTGACACTGTTACTGTGTGGATAGCCCAGATTCGAACTGTAAATGTACGTTCTTGAAGAGCTTTCCCCCTGTCCTTGTTCAACGGTAGTGTTGATAATACGCCAGACGAATCGAGCGCGTTTCCTTTGGTCGGCAGTCGCTCTTGTGACCTCACGCTTGGCGCTATAATAGTGTGGTACAGTGTATAATAGCAAAATAAAATTATTAAACATGTACAAGGGTTTGTGTGTGACGTATAAGGGCTAGGTAGGTGCTTGCAAAATGTCACAGCAGGAATTTTCGGTCATTCAGTACATCGCTATGCGCATTATTAGGTGGGATTCTTCTCCTGCAGTTTCATTGATATTTACAAGTTTAATACGCTTATATCTTTAAGGTGCTCTACCGATATCGATATTCACATCATATACGATGAAACAGGCGAGAGGGGCCTCTTTACTATTCATCAATTAAGCGACTAAAGTACAATTATACCAACTACTGTAGAGCTGTATTGGGTTTCTGCACCAAAATATGTGATAAAAGGGTAAATTACTTAATATACAAACTGTCCAATTTGCTGGAAGCAAACCAAGCAGATTACGCTGTGATCGCACTGTACCTTGATCAATTTCGAGAGCCTCTTTGCGGATCTGTTTTTTTGGCTTGGGTGTCCAAGTGACTGTCACTACAACACTGAAAATCTGACATTTCACCATCACTGCCGGATATTGATTGACTGCATTTTATATGATTAGGGAGGGGGGTGAATCCATTCTCGTTTATGCATGTCGCAGATTGGGCAAGGTTTACACTGAAGCGACCCGCGATCAAAATACACCCGTGACCAACGATTGTTTGACCGTTCTCGACAAGTGCTTTTTTTTTGGGGGGGGCTCGTGGTGTTCAAGATGCAGGCTTAGGCGACATTCATCTGCCAACGTATTTGCGCTCTCAGGATCATAAATCCATCCTCGGCAATCCTTCAGGAACTCTCTGCTATTAACTGCTAAAAAGTTATTATTTAAGGATTTTTAATGTGACCCCATCACAAGAGCAGGCCATCCTTGTAAATGATCATACTAAAAAGATACGGACAAAAAGGAACATTTACATACATACGACATGTGATAACCAGTCGTCTCATTGAGTGTGTGTCCAAACTAATTCAGACTGCACCCCCTTTTTCCCGCCCTCGAACCTTTAATAAACCGCCGGATGTAATGATCCTGAATCTAAATAAGCAATGCTTTGGATGCTAAAAATTTAATTATAAGTTGCAAGTCCTATATCGGGGTGCAGTACTGTACATGTATTTAATACAGGCAGCAAAAAACAGACGGGTGTCATTTTCAAAAAAAAAAGACGTTTTGGCAAAACCTTCTTATAGAAGCTGCCTTTAGCCCAGATAAAACAAAATAAGAGCTCTCAATTTACGGCAAATCGGCTTTGCTTTCAATATTGGCACTCGTTATTCAACCAGACTGGGTAACAAGTAACAGTACAACTACACCAGAATACACCCGATAGCATGCCCGAATTTGCCAGACTTAGGAAGAGCCGGATACGTCATCAGCTGATGTGTCTTCGGGAGTATACGTATAACCGGAAGTTCGATGTCTGGCAGTTTCGAAACTGAAATCTGCAAGACATTCAGCAGACTGCGCTGGGGATATCTAACTTTCAAGACAAAGTGCAGTCATGTCATCGGCACACACAAACAAAAGACCAAATCATTGAAAACTTGTTCAACTAAATGCACATGCATAGATACCGATAGCGTAGAAACTGCAGCTCCTTCCTACTTAGCGCACGCATAGTAGTTGCACCGGCAAATATTTCGAATGTTAACAGCATGTACATGCCACAATTGTAGCTATTGACCTGCACTCCAAGATCACTTTCGTACATTCGGATTCGGTACTTTCTTGGGGCGAAGTCTGGTAGCATCATCACCAATTTGTCAGCAAGGGGGCGAACCTTCACTCCGTAGCTGGAATTCATCGGGTCGTAGACAAATACGTCTTTACATGTCAGATCAATCATGACGGAGCGCTTCCGCCTATATTCAAGAAGATACTATCAGCGTTAGTAATTCCATTGTATCAATAAATGTACGTTAATTGTACCTGCACGGACAGAAGTGGGATGGCCTTCAGCTTAGCAAGTATATATGGGTCTGGATCAACTTGGAATGCTCGGGCATCTGTAGAGTGAAATCAATAGTCTCGATCCAGTTTATAGCTTTGTCCACGTGTTGTATGCTTTTCATCGCCCTGTGCCACTTTTTCATCACACCCAACGTCTCGGTAGTGTATGTTCCAACACCGATTACTTCAGCCGCAATTTCTTGCTCGCCTAGATTTACACACCATGAATCTTTATGTTTCTTCAGCAGGGCTGAGACTTTGGCGCTGCACTTCTCAATGAAGTCTTTGCGAAATACACGGCTTATGGATTCCACAGGATATATTTTCTTCGCCGGTGGTAAGCTCGCTCTCTCGTGGGCTACTGGAGCCCTGGGAGTTTTACTGAGCTCATACAGCTTGAATCGCGATAGGGTAGCGGCAGATGTATCGTATGTAGGCACGCCTTTAACAGTATCTCGCACAGTAGCCAGGCTCAAATTCGCTGCGTACAAGTCCGAGTCCTCTTGGACGATCGCGGCATTCTTTCTACGAGCAGCTTTCTTCGACTTCGCTGTTTGCTCTGGGCGCCCGCGGGGTCTAGGAGGGCTCGCTACGTGAAATTCATCATTCCCTACTTTTCGAAGAGTCGATGTCAACTCTCGGGTTTTCGATTCAAGATGTTTGCCAGATTGGGTGCCAGACTCGCCAGACTGAGTGCCAGACTCACCAGACTGAGTGCCAGACTCACCAGACTGGATGCAAGACTCCTCGACTTCGCTGTTCTCAATGGATGAACTCGCTTCAGCTGGCTGGGTAGAGTGAGGAGAGTCTGATAGCGCGGTTTGAGTGCCAAGGTCGATCATCCGTCGCCACAACCCGTCGAATAGCGAAAGATTCCATAGACGCACAGTTGTCACTTGAGCTCTCGAACTCTATCGAGGACCTAACAGAAGACAATATCCACCGACGATTGAGAAGGTGTTTCGGGATAACAGTTTCTTTGCCGAGTGCTTTTCTCAGAAAGAAAACATGACGACACGGCAGCAAACGCGTGCTCATAGAGAGGCACAAACAAGTCCAGTTGGCCTCAGAAACAGTATACTCGGTCTCACTCTCGTCAAGGGCATCTTCCTCAGTGCTTGTGGTCTTCACAATATAGACGTCCGGGCTCCGTTCCGAAAATTGTATGATGCACGGCCAAGTGCGTATACGTATTGGTCTTGTATCAGCTCGCACGCGTGTTCGCTGACAAGGGGAAGCCACGAGAGTCATTTCTTGGTCGTATCCAACATGCTGAATGCTAACCTCCTTGTAGACTTCATCCATGAACCGTCGTTCTTGAAGCGTTTGATAGTACATGAAAGACGCAATGCATTCGTCCACAGCCATGAACGAATATTCCACTGCTTCCAGGATACCTCCAATCTATTATTGGTGTTATTGCCGAGAGTGACGGTGTTTTGCCGCTTGTGTGCACACCATAACTTACGACAATTTTCCCAGTTTTTGATGAAATAGGCAGCAAATGGGTGGGTGGTGGGTTCATTAGCCACATCTGCTGGCTCAACGGAGTTTGGAGCCAGATTCTGCCCGACGGGAGCCAGATTCACCCCGACCGGAGAGGGATTCGATCTGTTTGTAACCCTATCCTGCCCGATTGAATCTGAAGACTCCGGCCTTGAACGACCACCTCGCGCACATGAAGCATGTACCGGAAATGCCCCATGTATTCCCTCTCCGTCTTCGCGTATACCAGGAGGCCCATGAGCCCTTGCAGCTGATCCCTCTCTCACGTGCTGCAGCCGTAATCCGATGATGAAATTTCCTTCCTCAAGTACTTTAACACATGCAACTGGCAGAGTAGAATAGTGATGCCGGGGAATGCGCTCTTCAAAACAGAAAGCTTCGTGAAATCCTTGTCGATGAGCACGCACTGAAGACGCGTCCAAGCCGGGTTATTCGTCCTAAATTCTTCCAGTGCAGTCAACAATGTTCTCCACTGCTCGTTGGGGAGTAGGGCATGCTGCACAAACTGTCCTTTCCAAAAGTGTCGTGTGCCATGAAAGAGAAGACCT